AATTAATCAGTTACCTCTTATTAAAGATGAATAAGAATATGAATGGTTTAATCAGGTAATCAGTTTTTGACATTAGTCACATGGGAGTCATAAGAAACAAAGGAGAAACTTGTAAGGTAAACAGTTTATGAATACAAATAAAATTTTGTAGTTGTTAGACTAGAACTGTACAAACTTCTTTTGAAATCTCAAGCTTGGATTCCTCCTCTGCTGCATTTATAAGATGGATTCTTACAGCATAGGAAAGATGACAGATAATACGATAATCGACCTTGAATAACTCGTTTACATTGATTTCATGGTTAGTATGGATCAGATTTCGGAATAAACAACGTCTTACTTATCACATTTGCCCTTTAAACAGTCATAATATATGATGTTCATAAATGAGACGATGAAATTACTGAAGTCGTACACCCATTGTGACTGGCTATAAAGCCGCAGTTGAGCTGAGTAATTCACATAGCGTAAGTTGGTTTCAGTAGTTTATCTTCATTAATGAAGTTAATACTAGTAGACTGGAGAATAAGCAACACGACTAAGTGCATTGGATTCTTTCTTCATAGCAATCCTTAGCTACGGTCTTACTAATGATGAAGCCCGGGAACTGAAATTTTAGGAACAGTGGCTTCTCAGAAACTGGTGGTACTTTTGCTCTGATCAGAACTCCTCTGAATGTCCACTTCCACTGGATGGCGTTTATTTTTTGCCGGAAGGTATCATCTAAACAGATAATTCTAACTTCGTGGACAAATTCTGTTTTTCCTATGAAAGAAAGAAACTAAAAGACTTTACGTTGACAAACAGATGGCAGATGGTGGTATACATTCCATTGTCATTGAAAAAAAGTCCCAAATCGCTCCCGTTAGATGACAGTGAGGGGGTTAAGGGTTGAAGATGTATCTCAGTTGAAAACTAGTTTCTAATCATACTGATGTATGTTGGACCCACTCATAAACAAGAATACAACTTTGATTTCAGATTGGTATTCACCACAGACTGACATCAGTTTTGGTAACATTGGAAACCTGTAGGTGCTGGATAGCTGTTTTGTCCCAGTAAGGGGCTCCTCAACAGTGCGCACCCATGACCCCGCCCAGCCATGGATCGAACTTATGACCCTCAGGTTCTGTGACCAGCATGTTTTCATTGAGCCACTGATTCGTAAGCCAATGGTCCACATATCCTACTTCCGTCAGTTTTCAATAAAGCACGACCTCCAACCTGAAAGTCCTGGGTTCGATCCATGGCATGGTCATGAGTGTGCACTGCTTATGAGTCCCATGTCTAGGATGAAACAGCTGTCCAGTGCTCCCAGTTTTCAACTGTTCCTCAAAAAGATGTCAGCTTATGATGAATATTAATGTGAAATCAATAAATAAATCCCTAATAAGCCTCAAAATTGAAGACAACTTTACTTCAGTAAATTAAACAACAACTCACAAACATCCATTGTGATGATCACTATTCAAAAAAAGGAGGATATTGTTAAGTGATGATGATTGGATGTGAAATGATAACCTGAGTTGTAGCAACATTCTAACCGGTGGCTTCAGGACCGCAAATCCTGCACTCTATTGTTATTTTCTTGACAATGATATAACTGCAGTAACATATTGTAGATTCTATCGTTTCTGTCCACAGTTTTTCCTCCGGTTTCCCGTTTTCAAACTGATCCTACTACCATAAACATCACACCAGTTGATTCATAGACGACATAAAGTGATATCGAATGGAAGTTGACTGCTTTGAGTACTACATTTTAGTCTGACTGAGATTGGGAAGCAATCGACTTATATTTCTTAACGGCTTGTAATTCCCCATCACGAACTTCGTACACAACGTTGCCTCTGTGTTTTAATATTTTTCTTCAGCCTTTTACTACTATCTACCATCTTCAAGATATTTAAAGTAGCTTTATCACTTGATCTTAATGATTCCTGCTTGATGTTGTGTTTCAAATTAAATTGGTACTTCATACTTATGTTTGTGGCGCTATTATCCTCTTCGTCTAATACTGAAGATCAGTAAATATTCGTGTTCAATTTAGGCTATTCTATCCCTTATTACACACCATTCCAATCAGTTGCTTGAGTACAGAACTTCGCATCGGTTACTGTTTTCACTCTCAATATGAACAGATTATAATGGGTTTTTAGAGAGTCCAGCCCCAATCCACTTGTTCTAAGTTCATGGGAAGGAAAACATACCGTTAGAGTTCAAAAAGCTACAGGGAAACAAACAACTCAGTGTATAACCTTACATCGAATTACATCAAAACAATATCCCACAGATATCAATAGCACACAAAGAGGAATAAATTCATTAGAATAAGAATGACACTGAAATCAATCAGTATGTGAAAGACTAAAGAATAAATTCCAACTAAATAGTCCCCTTGATAATACAAGCGGCGTAAGGAGAAGACAGTGGTTATCTGAAACATGTGTAGTATAAGCGCTATACCATTTCGAACAATCTGATCACACGTAAACTTTCCGACGATTTGTTATGAAAAGTGGGAGAGACTAATTAAACCAATGGAATCATGATTAAGAAAGGACAGAACGAAAACAAAAGTGGTCAGATCACCATTACCAGCAGTATGAAGAATTGAGATTTATGAATGACAAGGGCTTCCATAAATCTAAGTATTCTTCCTTGACCATATCTATGCAAGACTATATCAGTCACTTATATGACCAGTTTCTAGTAAGTGTTTAGGGATGAACAAACAAGGATGTTTGTCACTCACACTTGTCAGACTATTAGAGGTCATCTGTGTCTGCAGCCACTAAAGCACATGTTCAACTACTCTCATCAATATCACAAAACGAACGGAACGCACTTAGCTACCTTGTGAACATTAGTGCAGTCGGCAATAAGCCACACCTATTATGTGAGGACTAGTAATGCTACCTGGCTGCCCGAACCTCGGTAGGTGGGGCGCGGCTCGAACCCGTGACGAAATGGTCGGTAGTCATTCCTCTAAACCACTGAACCATAGCTCCAAATGGAAGAATAAATGAATGAGAGTGTTTACGAATGGTGAAAAAACGTGAACAATAAAAGTTTCGTCTAAAGCACCACTGTGATCCAGTTTGAGTCATATCACCAATAGTCTCGAACTGTTAATTTCTTACAAAAGACCGGTTTTCTACTGAGTGAGATATGTGGTCTTATGTGTTGACTAGGTACTTTCTTCGCTTCAGTAAGCAATTCATATGCTTTGCGCAAAATATCAAAGGCCTCTTCACTTGATCATCAAAGGTAATAATGTGAAACAGCCGGTTGCTACCGGATTAGCGTCCAGTGTTTAGTAGTGGTGGTTCATTCAGGTAACAGAAGAATGTACTATTCCAGATAGCTAACCGGAGAATAGAAATATAATGTATTCTTGTGGACTCGAAAGTTTATTTCCTTCTAATACAACATTTTTCTTTCGTTTTGTTATTGCTCAGAACATTTTAAAAATCCCCAAGAGTATTCTATACATTTGGAGGACATATTTAAGAGATTAAAACAAGCTGAAAGAAAGGAATTTGATGAAAAATCTCATTGGTAGCCAAAGTTCAAGCAGACCGCCATTGATATGATCCACTAAGCTAAATACAGCTTATGTAAACTGAGGGATTATTCACAGGTCAACTTTTCTACAAAACTCAATACACATGTAACGTTTTGTTCTTTGACAAATGCTTACTGAACAAAGATTGTACAATGACTGCAACAAGTACTATTTTGCACTACATCTATAGAAAAGTCTTACTGCCTAAAGCGTCACAAACTTAGTTATAAAAACTTTTTCGAAACAATTTAAGTAAGAATTGATAGAATCTATTAGTATGTTTAAGAATGTCAGTGATGTAGATGACAAAACTCACTAATCACTAATAAAGGTCACCAGTTATTTCAACAATTTGAGAAATACACATGAACAGTAGATGACTAATTAAAAAGCACGTTAAAATTTACCAGCTACACATATGTCTTTCACATTAATAAATTAAGTTTATTCGGAACAAAAATCTTGAATAGATGTTCCTGATAAGGAATCTGGTGATACTATTCTCTTGTTACCGTCATCCTCCAGAAATCCACTCCTCCCCCTAGTGATGCTACTTATCTTTTTGATGAAAATGTGACTCTTTAGTTGAACAGGCAGAGGCACCATGATTTATGAAAAGTTATTTTACACATATCATTATTACTTCTCCCTTGGGTTCCTAGTCAAACATAACGCTTCACTAACACGTCACCATTTCATTCTCTTATCTACACTCTTCTCAACCTGGAACCACCACTCCACACAACCTTTCATTTCTTACTCACACCATATCCTCCATGTTACCATCGTCTTGGACGCCCAACTCATCATTTCCATTTGGCTTCCACTCAACAGCCTAACCCGGACTGACCTGGTCTGGTCTGGCCTGGCACGTGATGTCCTCAAACGATCTCTTCAATGTATGTCCAAAACAATACAATACCATCCATCTCCACTTTCTTCCACTCCATATTTGTTGGGAGATGGGTTGTTGGTTGGTTCATTGTGGGGCCAGTCAGAGTTGCTCGTTGCTCATTCTTATTATTGTGGCCATCTATCTGATCTTCAGTACTGAGTGGGTGTAGACGGCAACTGTTGATGTATGAAAAATCTAGATACTTTAATTAGAAAGTAATCAAGTGTAAAAGTGAAGTCATTATATACGACTTGGTATATTTACATGTGTACTAAATGTACAGATATTCGCTTTTTAAAAATTGATATTTCTTCTGTGTTTTCATGCTTTTTTTGTCTTTGTAAACTCCTTACAATTTCATATGAAAATTATACCGGTATATGCTTATGTTTTTGTAAAACATCCAGATGATAAACGATACGATTCATGGTAATAAAAAAGGAAGTATGTATACACATTGTTTGCATTGGTATCTTCTATAACATTCCGATAAAAACAACAGACATTTTGGTAATAATCATATGTAATTAGCTGACGTTAATACATATCAGGTGGACAGAATGCTTTAACATTGAAATAAGGATATTGCATATCTAAACGAGCTAGACACCGTTTTAAGGAAAGCATTGTTCGGGCAAATATGGTTACGGGTAGAACACGCATTCCTTTGTAAAGTATCGGTTTATTACCCGGTAGAGGTTTATGCAGAAAAATGCTGCACTGGCTAGCACGAGCTATCGCTTCAACCCTACGGTCATAAAATGGTCTTTGGTAGGATTCTGTATCATTTATGTAGAATGTGTATTCAATACGTGCTAGACAGTGTGACTTTTCTTGTCCTGACTCATTCTCCGGTTGTTGAGTAATGGGCTTAAGTAACCGAACAGGTGGTGATGAAGCTTCTACAGAACTGTGAGACCGAGGATCTGCTGATAGTGGTCTAGGCATATAACTAGATCTATGCTCCGATGAATTCGTTCCACAGTGAATCTTTGGAGATCTACTGCGTCTTGGCTGATGAGTACTGACTTCCGGAGATTTTCCATTATAGCTTGATCGAATACTTTTGTTTAACCTTTGAGAAACCGGGATCATAACTCTTGAGATATGAACCTTTTGAGGAGGTGTAGGAGGTTTATTTGATAAATGTGCATTAATACAGGACTGTAAAGATGGTCTATTCGGATTAGTATACATTTTTTTATTTGTACAAGTATCTCCACTTGACTGCTTATGTACAAACTCAAATGATATTTTATTTCTTTCATCTGTGTTCAACTTGGTTACTAAAGGAATAGTATCGTTCAAAGTGGCAATTTTGGGCAAATTATCTATTTGCCTAGATAGATTTTCATCACCACTGCATAAATCACTTTGATTTCTATTCATATGGCTTACATAACTTGATTTTTGTTTGTTTGAAACAGATGAATTGATTGTGAATTCATTTATTTTCATTTGTTGTAAAGAAGTATCATTTTTTTTCGAATTCTTGTTTGTAATAGACATTTTTTGGTCAACCGACGTCATCTGACATAAGATATGATCATTATTTAAACTGTTCAAATGATTAGCTTTTGTATTAACATCAATATTCAATTGTGGTGACAATAATTTTCTTCTTGAACTTTGAAAATCATTTCCTTTTTTACTAGATGGAGATTTCGATGAAAATTTAAACGAATAAGGAGAACTTCTTTGATTATTATCCGTTTTAAGTTTAATTGTTTCATTGACAATTTCATCCCTTAAATTTGATTTAAATTCATCATTACAATGCTTATTGTGATGATAATATTTACCGTTGGTTACTCGTTTGTTTTGAGCCTTATATGAATTAAATAAGCATTTATCATCCTTTTTTGGTGTTAATTTTTGAACTTTCGTATGTGTTCCACCCATAGTTCTTATTTGTTTTATAGACTAGTATATTAAATCAACATAAAAAAATTATATGGAGACATTACTTGTTGTTCACTGTTGAATGGAAAATCAGACCGTAGATTATGTCAATTTAGATCACAACTAACTTTCTTATCCTAATTGATTAGCATAATTTAAAAGATATTTCGATCAATATCTTTACCAGTGATCGGTCATGAAATATATTAGATCATATGGGATAGAGATTTCGCTTATAAAATTAAATCTATAGGAACATACTAATTTCCTAGTTAAATATGGACTAAAGTAAATGACTTTGAGGTTGATAATTTGGAAAAAAGGAAACGTTTCGCATAAAATGGTTTCTTCAAATACAGCAGAAGCAAAGAAATCTCACTAATTATTTTTTGATCTTAACAACTACTGTGTTTATGGCTGAGAAAGTCAAGTACACGAAGATAAGGAAAAACATACTATATGAAAGCTCCTTCCTGAAGAGTAGTGATGATAATTTGAACTAAACAAACAAGTAAGTCAAGTCTTGGGTAACTCAGTCAGGCCGGTAATTTGAAGGTCACTTAGTCGAACCCTGCTGTGACCCAGGTTTCTACTTCATCTTCAACCATCACTCAGTCTGTCAAAGCACGGCTATCTCAAACAGACTCATTGATAAACTAGAAATCTCATCATTTCTCGAGTGAGACACATAACAATGATTGTTCATCTTACCGTCAATATAAATATCTTAAAGTTAGTGATTTTAATTTAAATGTGTTTGATGACATCATTTCAAGCTTTCAATTCATTTTAACTAATCTCTTACCAAATTATTATCTTTTCTTGCATCATGTTACCAAAGAGAGATATCCTGCTTCAGTCAGTGTTTCATTCCTCTTAGTTAGAATAATAAAATCATAAATATTATATCTCAACTACTGAATGATATCTGTATTTTGGTAACGCTATTAGAAGACGAAGATTATCTGAAAAATGTGATGTATTTGCGCAATACATTTCGAACAATCTGATCACACATTTACTTGTCAAGTCAATTTATATATGAAAATTAAAGGTCAAATATAGTGAAAATGAAAAGGTTGTGACACTAGTCTAGGTAATATAATCAGGTAAGGATTACCAAGGTAAGTTAAGTGAAACAACAAACTGTTTTTATACGCACAGCGGGGGATTAAATTTACGAATGGCTAACGCTTCGACAAACTTGAGTATGCGCCCCAGATTATTCCTGTATAATATCTTAAACGCTGTTTTCGTATTAACCTTGTGATTCATTTCAATAATATGTTTTGCTATAGATGACGATGGATGTTTGTCACATGCACTTATCAAAGTTCGTGTGTTAAACTGTTTTTCTAGCCATTTGGGTATGTGTTCACGCACCCTAGTCTGCATTGGACGATTACTCCTCCCGATGTATGTGTGCCCACACATACATGTAAATTGGTAAACACAGTAGGATGTGATGTAATCATTTGTGCGAGGTTGAGGTTTGTGGTGAAGCAGGTGTTTTGTCGTCTCAACAATGATAAGCTGAGCTTCATAGTATGTTTAACTGATAACAGATTTTAATCTCTGCTTCAATATCATACTACTTGTTTCCCCTCTGTATGGTACTTTAAGAAATATGCTTTTCTTCGGGACCGAGGAAACTATAGGCTTTGGGGTCAGCTGTTTTTTACAGTGGTTGACAAACTGTAATGGATAACCGTTTTCCACTAGAGTGTCTGTCAAAAACTTATTCTCATCATCCATCGTATCAGATGTACAAATACGTGGAAAACGGTTATCCATTACAGTTTGTCAACCATTGTAAAACACAGCTGACCCCAAAGCCTATAGTTTCCTCGGTCCCGAAGAAAAGCATATTTCTTAAAGTACCATACAGAGGGGAAACAAGTAGTATGATATTGAAGCAGAGATGAAAATCTGTTATCAGTAACACATACTATGAAGCTCAGCTTATCATTGTTGAGACGACAAAACACCTGCTTCACCACAAACCTCAACCTCGCACAAATGATTACATCACATCCTACTGTGTTTACCAATTTACATGTATGTGTGGGCACACATACATCGGGAGGAGTAATCGTCCAATGCAGACTAGGGTGCGTGAACACATACCCAAATGGCTAGAAAAACAGTTTAACACACGAACTTTGATAAGTGCATGTGACAAACATCCATCGTCATCTATAGCAAAACATATTATTGAAATGAATCACAAGGTTAATACGAAAACAGCGTTTAAGATATTATACAGGAATAATCTGGGGCGCATACTCAAGTTTGTCGAAGCGTTAGCCATTCGTAAATTTAATCCCCCGCTGTGCGTATAAAAACAGTTTGTTGTTTCACTTAACTTACCTTGGTAATCCTTACCTGATTATATTACCTAGACTAGTGTCACAACCTTTTCATTTTCACTATATTTGACCTTTAATTTTCATATATAAATTGACTTGACAAGTAAATGTGTGATCAGATTGTTCGAAATGTATTGCGCAAATACATCACATTTTTCAGATAATCTTCGTCTTCTAATAGCGTTATCGAAATTTATTAAAGGGACCAATTGTTTCAGATATCTGTATTCTTTTATACTATTTGCTTTGGTTTCAAATAACCATCATTTGTAACATAGTTTATTCACGGTCATGTCTAAATCATCACGAAACCAAATATTCATATCTATCATCTCAATATTTACACAATTCGAAAAACTGATTGAATACAAAAATTTCACTTAGTTTGAAGTTTACAGGGATTTTATTTTTAAGGTTGTATTCATCAAGAATAGTCACACTATATCGTGACTTGATAGGAGTAATAGATTGTGGATCATTGAATCCCTAAGCCAGTAGTTGGATGGTTAGTGCGTTCGGTATGAGATTTGAAGGTCCTGAGTTCGATCCCCAAACGGGTTATGGATATGTACTGCTAAGAAGCCCCATACGGGGACGAAATAGTTGTCTACTGCTCCTAGGTTTTCAATGGTTCTCCAACTGATGTCATTTCGCGATAAAAATACAACATTATAAGTTCAATTGGTAATCTGATAACTAATTGTAGGTAAAAAGAAAGAAAGCTGGTAAAATTAATTTGTAGACTGTAATTTTTGCTCATATTATTATTGCTTTAAATAATAAATTTAGTTAAATGTTTGAAATATGTTCATCTATGGATGAACAATGAAGACAAAACAACCTGTTCAATTTTCCTATAATAGTCTTTTGTCAATATGAAAATCTTTAAGACAAATGGTATAAATGATAATAATTTTCATAAATATAGTTCTCAAATAAACGTTAATTAAACGAGCAGAATGCTTGTTAGAAAGAAAAAAAAAAGGAAAACATGAGATGTTTATCATGTAAAGCAAGGGATTAGATCTGATTGTTTTAGTCTGGAAGCGATATCGATGTCTCAGTGACAATAGGTCTATTCAGATTTAAGAAATGCATTTCTTTGTTTAGTAGATTGGTATTATTAGTGTTGCCATTGGACTGGATCATTTGAGAATTACTTTCGTGTTGTATTTTTTCTGTGAAATCTGAGCATCTGTCCATAGAAGCATTTACCCCTCTGTTAAGGTTAGAATTCAAACCTTGAACAGTGATGATTGATGAAGAATTAGCAGATAATCTGAAAAAGAATGCACACAATTTATTTAAATCAACAAATGAAAATCTGATTCTTCATATGCAACTACAACAATTCTACGTATCTTCATTTATGAAAATGAATACACTGGGGGAAGACACTGTTATTATCCACTTACTAAATCCAATGCTCCGAAAATCATCTATTTTGAAAAAACACTTACTATTCATGATCGACTTTGAACGAAATAAAATTCCTTCACAAGTGAGCTGTGCTGAAGATAGCGCAATAAACAGTGTGGTTGCTATTATTATTATTTATTAGTCCCTTGGGTTCCTAGTGGAACATAGGGCTTCAGTAGCACGCCTCCAGTGACCTCTGTTCTCTGAGATCTTTTGAACCTGGTTCCACGACAGCCCAGAAGCTCTCATTTCCTCCTCGCACGACCTCCTCCATGTCACCCTCGGACGTCCAACTCGTCGCTTCCCATGGGGATTCCACTCGAGGGCCTGACACGTGATGTCCTCAGTCGGCCTTCTCAGTGTATGCCCAATCCATCTCCACTTCCTTCCACTGCATATTTGTTGAGTGATAGGTTCTTGGTTGGTTCGTTCCCAGAGTTCCTTGTTGCTTATTCTTATCATTCTGGCCATCTGATCTTCAGTAGTGAGCGTAAGCAGTTATTGATGAATGTCTGTAGTTTATTGGAAATCCCTTTCGTGACGCGCCAAGTCTCTGAACCATACAAGAGCACTGACTTGACGTTGGTGTTGAAAATCCGTATCTTGTTCTGCATGCTGAGTGCAGTAGATCTCCACACTGGTTTCAGGCTAATGAACACCTGTCTTGCTTTTCCGATTCTGACTTTGACGTCCTCGTCCGTCCCTCCCGTAGTTGAAACAGTGCTTCCTAGATAAGTGAAGGAGGTTACTTCTTTTAACTTTCTCCCGTTGACGGTGATTAGAGTTTGTTGTTGTTGGTGGTGGTGCGGTATCTCCATCACCTCTGTCTTCTCTATATTCACCTGAAGTCCCGTCTTAGCTGCCCTGCCTCTTCTATCAACTTGTTAGTTTTGCCTGCAGATCTTCAAGTTTATGTGACATCAGACACAAGTCATCGGCGGAATCCAAGTCTTCTAGGTTCTTTTCCGCCGTCCAGCGTATCCCCCTCTTCTCGCTCCTCACTGTTTGCTGCATGATCCAGTCTAGTCCACTACAATCAGGAATATCATGGGGGATAGTAGGCAACCTTGTTTCACTACTGTCTTCACTTCAAAATCATCACTGAGCTTCGCATTGTGAATTACTTGTCTGGCATGTGGCATCTTCATATAGTTGTTGAATGAGGCTGATGAGGGTTTGCGGTACTCCGTAGTATTGAAGCAGTTTCCAAATTACTTCTCGGTCGACGCTGTCAAAGGCCTTCTCAAAGTCGATGAAGTTGAGGTGTAGAGTTGACTGCCATTCTATGCTCTGTTCTATGATGATGCGAAGCGTTGCAATTTGGTCTGCACATGATTTGTACTTCCTGAAGCCTGCCAATGGTTGTCGTCTGGGTGACCGGAGTAGATTATTGATTCTCCAGTTGACAGTTTGGAGAGTCCACTCCCATTCCATCTGCTTTCTCAAATTCCAAGCACTTCGATGTGATACCTTCTCATCTCTTTTGCAATCTGGGCTGCCTTACTGGGTTCAAACATCGTACGGACATTTCATGTCCCCACGTTTACTTTCGCTTCCATCGAGAGAAGAGAAGACACATCGACCAATTGGCTTCCTGAAGGCTTTCACCAAATGGCGTCATTTCGCCTCTCCGATTCCAGCGGGGAATAAGTTTGTTTTGTTTGCTATAACAGTTACTATTCCAGTTGTTCTTCCAATGTTAGATTGCCTTTCAGAGAGAGATATAGTTGTCGTCAACTCTTGCTCTACTTCATCTGCTTAAATATGTCACAAACAGATCCATGCAATCACGTTTCCCTTCTAAATAGACCCATCCTTCATAATGTCAAAACTTGTGTTCAAAACAGCTAAAAAATTTGCATCAGTCCTTTTTAGTCTCTCTATCAGACACATGGATTCTTGTTCCCCATTGCCATTGTAGGTTTAAAGTAAAAAAGTAAAATTTAAAGTGTCTCAAAGTATGGGGAACTGTGAATCACAAGAATATCCTAACTCCATTTTATTTAGCATGGTAGATGTTTTAGACAGCAGAATGTAATCGTTTCAGATACAATTTTCTGTCTACATTTCAGGATACAACTTCAATACGTGATTTATGTAGTTCCAATGCTTCCTCTTTCTCCTCCACTTTTCTGGTCAGGCTGGTGGTTTCAACGTGTAAGACGTTTGACAAACAAGCTAAAATGGAATTACACTTTACCAAAGTGTTCAAGTATTACTCTGATATTCATCCTTTGGTATTAAAATGAGGTGGACTATCAAAGTATGGACCACCTATTTTTGAATACACAAAAAAGAACTTTTTGTAAAGCTTCAATGAATTATAATAGTATCAATCACTATATTCCAAACAGTAACTTTTGGTACAGTTTTCGATCCTCAATGTGATATTTGAGTAAATTTACTTCTTGTACAATATTTTCAAATTATATAGTCGTAGAAGTTAAACAGTGTTAATAATCACAGTATGATAGGCAGCAATGCACAACGATCAATAGTTTTTAGATCATCTAGTTTTTGCATATTGTTACACATGGGTCAGATAGAAAAGCATACACAAGTATAGTGGTGGAAGTTCATTCATCCACTATGAAATTTCGCTGTTCCAGCTATGTGTGCCTGTAATATCTATACTATGCACTGTTGTGTATTTAGGGGCCGACTATCATCTACTGTGATATTTTCTCGTAGTCTTGTTGTTAACCCGTCTAACGATACGTCGAAGACCTTTTAAACGTGCACGAGAATACTTTTTACGACTTTTTGACATTTTAATGGTTAAATCAAGTAAAAACAGGAGCAATTTGATTAAATGTATTCGACAAAATATTTTTGGTAACCGAATATTTAAGCAACCCATTAATGATATGAATATATGTTACTGACGTTTGCTATATAATGGTCTAAAGGCTGTATAGCGGTCAATCCTGTAATCAGTTTCGATAATATGTTTAAGTATAAACGACAACGTGTCTTCGGATTATTTGAATATAGTTATCTTTCCAGTCATTCAGAGATATGCCGCACCACCATCAAGTTCATAGTTCGATCCCTCCTTCCACTCTATGTGTCACCGAATGCACACTTGAATTGGTATACACAGCGGGATGTGGCTTAATCATCTTTGTAGCGATGATGCTTATTTCGAAGCATAAGTTTCGTTTCCTCCATAATATTTAGCTGCATTTCTTATTGTTTATTTTTTCCGTATTAGGTTCATCAAAGCTTTAGCTTTAGTTCAAATCTCTACTGTGTATTCAAAAATAGTTTATCCTTACTTTAAACCTCCTTTGATAATCTTCGTCTCCTTGTAATACTAAGGGAGGTGTGAAAGCTCATTATTCCTCCTTATATCTTCTTTCCCAAATCTTGTAGTATTTTAATTTATTTGCCTTACCCCACCCTATTTTCATATTAAAAGCCTTGATAGGTAAATAATCGGCCAGATTGTTGTAATAATACTTGCAATTTACCACTGTTATACAGGGCCGAATTGCCCGACCTCTGTTGGCAGAGGGACTCCTATATGGATGCCTCGGTACTTCCGAATATTAATGATGTTATATTGATCTTAGTGACTAGAAGAGGAATTCAGGACGCGCGTTTAGCCCTATTTGAGATTCGTTAGCTGGGTGTACCTGCACTCTAGTGATACCCACTGCACAAGAGATGGCTATCAAGCCCCAGTTGCCTAATAAATAACACTCTGGCGTTTGTAGCAAAGGGTACTGGGTTAGAGCCCCAGTGGGAATGACGTCACTAACTGGGGTGTGGGTACATCCAGCTAACGAGTCCCAGATAGGAAGAGGAGTGCGTCGTGAGTTCCTCTGCTAGTTATCAAGATCAATATAACAGTATAACCAGAGTGTTCGAAATGTGCTGCGCAGACACATTATACTTCTTAAATAACTCCATCTTCTGACTGCATTATGCTTATATAATCAACACCACAAGGAAATGAAAAAGAAATGGAGAAGTTTTTCATCACCAATTAGGCAGTGATTGAGACGTGGTAACAGGAAGCTAATCAGTAGCCCAAGTCAATGACTCATTGTCAGTTCTTTTTTTTTTGACATGGTAACTCATTCAAGAAAATCAAAATTCTAATTGCTCATATCAACATGGAATATTTGAAAAATAATTCATTTCACAAGAATTAACATCTAACTCACTGTGCTCCAGAAGTATATCCTATTGAACAGTTTTCTTCATCTGATGGGTATACACCTCCAAAAATTATTATATTATTTGGATACTCAATAATAAGTGTCAAAATCAACATTAATATGACAGAGACAATAAGAGGGGAAAAGATTTCTTTGTTAGTAAACAATTTAATTTTATCTAATCTGCAAACAAGAAGAATAGAGAATATAAGAAATGAAAATGCAACAAAAAAATATCCAGTTATTCTAATGATAGTTTCATTACGATCTTGTTGATTGAAATGATTCGATCCACACAGCATACCAACTAATAATAGACCATGAAGTAATTGTATAACAAGAAAAGTCATTGTTATCCAAAATGGTATTAATACTTCAGTCCAATTCCAGTGAATATAATCATCTAAACGTAAACCAATCAAGATAATACAAGGTAAATTTAAAGAGAGAAATATTTCCAATTCATAGATATTTAGTCTACGAAAATCTTTTGTTACAGTCAAAAAGCCTAAAATACACAATCCATATGCTGGGATTAAAACTATACTCCATGGAAAGGTATAATTATTCACTAATTTAAAGCATATAAATATTTGAAATAATAATATATGTACTTGATAAATAAGATAAAACGCAATAAATTTTGTTAATGTAATAAATTTAATAAGGAATAATAAAATAAAACATGTAAACACTAGAATATTCCATATCCAAAGTGGAGTAAACAGAAGCCATGCATTTATTATAACAATATGTTTATCAATACTAAGTAAACAAAGGGTAAGAAATATTAAAAAGAATAGTAGAAATATTAATCTATGAACGTTAACATTACGAGAGTAGTCTTGAAGATTCATGACAACATAGAAAGAAAAAAAAATTATTTTCTCAGCGAATTTTTATTATGTTATAAGAATTAAAAAGAATACTCTGAATTTAAAGATAACTTAAATAAACAGTACAAGAATCTGACAAATAGAAAAGTAAATGAAAGGATTAGATAATAAGTAATACTGAAGGAAATCAATCAATCAGATATAATAATCTACTGCTGTATATTTCTAATGACTCTTATTAAGAAATTAACGAAGAAATGGATAATACTTTAAACAAATCTCAATCGTTTTAGTAGTCATCAGTTTAATCCATCATTACAAGATGAATTCAATGGATGATCAACAGGTAATTGATAACAGTCAATCAGTATTCCAATGAATAGATAAAAATAAATTCTGAAAATAGAAGAAAATAAAAATATTATTCATAATGAAAATGAGATAACCCAGTTGAACACAAATGAAATCACACATGAAACTGAGGATACGTAACAAAATGTGAAAACTAGTATTAACTAGTACAATACAATAAACATAATGATAACCATTAAATAATTTTGACATATACCAGTGTATATCAATTAGTCCTATTCTCAACTTATCACATTTGTAGCTCAAACTGGAAAACACTCTATTCACTAATAATATATCCCTACTAATCAAAAGTCAAAGGTTCTTAAACACTTTAATTTCGCGATAAATTTTCATAGTGGTGTTCAGACTTTAAATTATGGAAGTTGTTCTAGAGAAGCATATTGCCACTGAAATGAACTACATTTAGGCAATTTCTAACACCAGAACCATTATTACTATGGGTTCTGGAACCTAATATAGAAATTGCAGTCCAGCGAGGTAATTCTATTACTAAATCCATATATATATATATATATATATATATATATATATATATATATATATATATATATATATATATATATTATTTCAACATATTCTGGACCTACACCTTATTTTATAATATTCATTTATACGAAAATTAAGTACAAATCTGAGGTTAAGAAAGTTCTTAATCAGTTATACAGAGCTAGGTTATCCACTGGTTCTCTCAGAAATGAAATTGTGTAAAACAGCACAGTTTTCTATGCGAATTAGAGATTTTTATTACTACGTTTACGAATTACTCTATTAGACCTGTCTATCAGTTTTATAAACCACTTCCACTCAACTTTTGTCAAAGTATATGCAAGGATATTTCATTTGAGCTAACAGGTATTTAAATAATTTAACTTCACATGAACCTGATTCTACCAAGCGTCAGATTCTTCCTACCTGTGTAGCCAAATCACATTTGCAGATCCCCCTTATTTCACTAAAAATAAGTAGTTAGCCACCTGCCTAATAAACTTTACTTGGCAACGTATGACCACGAACTTTGCAGTGATTACTTTAGGTGTGTTTTTAAGTACTCCCGTAAATTAATTAAATTCTCAATCACCAAGATACTTAAAATAGTCATGTGAATTAATGACAAGTTATATCCTAACAATTCTAGTTCCACTGCTGGTCACAAAGATCAATATAACATCATGAATATCTGGCATTATCTCGGTATACGCAAAGGACCCCATCTCCCAACAGAAGTCAAGCAATTCGGCCCTGTATAACAATTTTCAATTACATGTATCAAACAAAAACTGGTACCTGTTGCACAAGAGATGGTGATCACGCCCTCTAGTTGATAACGCTTTGGCGTTTGAAGCGACTAGTACTAGATTTGAGTCCCAGTGGGAACTACATCACTCACTGGGGTGCAGGCACATCTAGCTGACAGGTCCAAAATATGACGAAATGAGCAACCTAGCTCCCACTGCTAGTCACCAAGACTAACATAACACCCTAACAACTATAGGTTACTTACTAACTGATTCTGGTCGAAAAATTGGAGAAAAGCTTTGCAAAATTCATCTCTTTGGTGTAGAATGTACAGAATAGCTATCTCAAAAGAGTTGCTTCTTATTCTATTTAGTCACCCTTTCATTTCGGGGACAATATTGAGACCACATTCATCTTTTAGGCCTGTTTCTGTCGAAATCATCGGTCAGTTTCTCTAAATTCCAAAGCACTGTGCATTCCAACCAGGTTACGATGAATAATTTGAATGCTTAAGTAAATAATTGATCAGCAATGTTCCCTGCTCACTGAATAGAAGTACAATCATAATTAGGTGCAATATTTTCAGTATTAATGTCATGATGGTGAAGTGGCTGTGGCATACTGAACTGCAATGAAATCTAAACCAAAAACATCTGCCTAGGAAACTTATTTAAAAACTGACTATATAGTGGCATTAAGTGAATAAGCTAACTGCAAGCATAAAAAGTCAACAATTGTGTATTGCACTAGCCTAATGGAGCTGTGGCTCATTGGTTTAGGTATCTGACTTTAAACTGATGGGTCACTGGTTCGGATCTTGCTCCAGCAACCAAGTTTTCGGCAGCCAGGTAGTATCACTGGCCCTCACACAATACCCGTAACTCATTGACTACTGTACGAATGTTTACGTGATTGCTGAGCGGATTTCGATATTTTTTCCGACACTAACCTGGATTACTCAATCTTGCCTTCATTGAAGTTAAAAAGGTACCTTGAGGCTTTATCATAATGTATTGGGTAGGAAGTTCCATTATTCACAAGTTAGCTTCACCATAATAAAAAGTGCCAAATGTTTTATAAAAGATGGACAGTAGTATGACAGAAAATTAACTATCTTCCGTAGAACAACTCAATCATTATCGAAATATGTGCATTATTGTACAGATTTTAACCTCCTGGTTATTTTGTCAGCAGCGCGCATAATCTGAAGTTCATCCAAAAGATTAAACCTAATAACAAAATCTTGAATAAAAGGTAGCAAGAGTTCGATGTGAAGTTGAATTTACACAGAAATTCTAGTCCATACCTTAGATTTCCCCTTAGTTTCAAGAATAAGAATTTTTACGCAGTGGATTGTAACCAAACCAAAAAATGAAAGCGACATATTCACAATAAGTGAACTATTTTGACAAAAAACACAATACCAAGTCCAGTGATTTGTAACACAAGAAAACCAAAATCATCTCAATTGTAAAGCGATATTTTATTTTATCTATTGTAAACACTAGATAAACAGTCTATCATACAAAATCTTAACTATCTCTTGTTGATTTACTTAGGTGAATGATGAAAGAGGTGATACTTCTTGCTTGTTATACGTACTGCTTGACTTTTCAAAAGCGGATAAAGCTGGAAAGACTCAGGAAAATATGGTTTTACCACATAACTGGTGATATACCAGTTACTTGATTCTAATTCTCAAGAACATAAAAACTACAAATCGGTCACATTTTTATGCTGTATCAGAGGATTTAGGCAATAGACAAGCATATATTTATTGATATAGTGCACATAGTGAAATTTCGTTTACTTGGATGTCTAAAATAATCCAGTACTTGCTCTAATTGAATACCGTATGCAGTACCAGCACAGGTCTCCACACATAAGTGTATTGAAAAATTCAACGATCAACAATGTAAGCAGAGTGCTTCAATAGACTACCCAAGTTACATTACATATTTTGGAAGGTGATTCCTGTTTACAGTTGATGTTCAAGCTGTCTATACCATTAACTGAAATTGACAGGTATCTTAGTCAATTATTTTATAAGGCTTAAGAAGAATTAATGAATATCGGTAACCAACTGATCAAAGTATAAAATTAAAGTTGCATTTTCAATTATTTTCAGGCAGCCAAAACAATAAACACCAGTGAATGTCAGAAATTTTATTCTGAAATACATAACTATGATGGTGGCTACTGAAAAGTAGTAAAACTGCCAGTATTATTGGGGTCATGAGGAAGGTGTAAATAAACAAAATAAATTCAGCAACAATATTGCAAGTATAGGAAACAGTTTTTGGGCTGCTGTGTCTAGTTTTTCAGGAATGTCTCTTGTTGTTCGGCTTATTTACTGCAGTGGGTTGGAAAGTCTCATATATATCCTTGTTTTTATGTCTACTAAGGTATTTCTCCATGAATTTAGATTTGTAAGTAGTAAAGTGAGTTGATTAAAAAGCAGTGCGCCATTGAAAAGACTCCTATTTGCAAATATTCTTCAAGCAGAATATCAGAGTGATAGTAAAGACGTATGTTGAATCTTCTCCGTGAGTAAAATTAGATAGAAAGAGTAAAGTAGAAAAAGTAGGCATCAAAACAGACAGTAAGAAATGCATGAAAACAAAACGGTAATGGGATAATGAAGGGTAAAATAGGCTTCACTGGGTAGTGAATAGAGTCATTAGTACCGTGAATATGTTGCTATTGCGGTATTCCAACTGACATAGTTGTCCACCCTTCTTCTTTTTAATTATTCTACTCAGGAATTTGCAGCTAAATCCCCCAGTAAACATTCCATGAAGCCCATTCTCTGGAAGAGAATAAATTTAACCTGAAACCGATATTAGCTTTGTCATGTGTTAGGCATAAAAAAGAAGTTAGACAAATTCATATCCACCTTTATTTTCTTTGAGTATTAAATGTCGGTAAACTGCGCTAAAATCCTCCAGAACTGGTATGTAGCATACGTGATATTTGACGCCAGTTGGAGTGAAATATAATATCAACAGCCAATTAAGGTATTAGCACTCGATTATGGTAACCTACCTAAAAAACAAATTATGGCAAAATTTAGCTGTATATATGGCTTTGTATACATGAGTTACAGGGATAAAAACATAGAAAAGACGTTGGGCAACATGCATTTACCACTTGAAGAATGCATGTATTATATAAAACGGCTTTCTAGCCAGCAGACACTTTGGAAGCACGTTGAAACTTTCGGACAGAAACCGGTGGAAAAACTTTGAGGTTATTGCAGACAATGCATTGTCGTTCCCAACATTGTCAAAACATTTTCCAGAAATGGCGAAAACTGTCAAAGTCAACCCAGATTACCCAAATAATCTTAACTGCATCCAAATCTGTCAAACTATCTGCACTGCATCCAAAGTTCTTCAACTAAAGCATTATGACGGGTAGTGCGTGGCGTGCGTGAATAGAATTTGCATGTGTAGATGTTTAGTCGTAAACTACGAGATCAGTAAATATTTATCCACTTCCTGAAGTATTTGATCTTCCGAAACATAGTTTATTCAGCAGACGTCCC